ACAGATCTATGTCATTACTCCTATTTAATAAATTTCAGTGGTTCCCTGTCATCTCCAGGATCAAGTATAAAATCTTCTGTCTGGCTCTTAAAGCTTTTTATAACCTGGCACCCTGCTACCTTTATGCCTTATTCCCCTCCGAGTACTCTGAGATCCAGTGACACTGACCCCCTTGCTGCTTCTCATACACTCTTCCAACTCCGATCATTTTCGTTAACTGTCCCTCATGCCTGACATTCTCTCGCTCCTCATCTCTGCCTCCTGGCTTCCTCAATTTCTGTCAGGTCTCAGTTAAAGCCCCCCTTCTGCAAGAAGCCCTTCCCAGTCCTCTTTAACCTTAGTGCCTTCCCTCTGAGGCAGCTAGATGACCCAGCAAATAGAACTCTGGGCCTAGGGTCAGAAATCCCTGAGTTCAAATATAGCCTCAGACATTTACTACCTGTGTGACCTTAGAAAAGTTATTTGACCTCTGCCTCAGTTTCCTCTACTGTAATACTTTTCAGGGTTGCTGTGAGGATCAAATGAGACCATATTTATAAAGCATTTAACACAGTGCCTGGAACATAGCAGGTACTATATAAATGGTTATTTTTCTTCCCTCTGAGATCATCTCTATTTACCCTGAATATATAGTATTTGTATATAGTTGTTTGCCTGTTGTCTCTCCCATTAGACTGTGAGCTCCTTGGGAGAAGAGTTTATTTTTTGCCATTTTTTTCTTACCCCCAACACTTAGCATAGTGCCTAGCATATAACAGGGGTTTAATAAATATTTGTTGACTGACTCAAAGTGAAGTACAGAAATTGACAACAGAAATTCCACAGCAAATGAGAGTAAGGTAGGAGTTACTGGGAAGGAGACAACTGGGCAGTTAAAATCATGTTAGTGAACTGCAGCAGGAATCCCTTCTTGTCAACTGGTCCTTTTCTAAAAGATATATTCTAGCGATGATAACTACCCTGACAGGAAGGGCTGACTTGGCCTTAATGTACCTCTCCTGCCTGAATGGTAGGTAATCTTCCAACATCTTCCAACTATGGCAATGAATCCCTGCAATACTTAATCCTTCCCCCTTGGTGACTCTTGGAGATAAGACAGATAACAGGGAAATCATTACTATTCAAGTTTAAGGGACTAAAGATTTCTCCCCATGGAGGGAGAAGACCTGGAAATAGCAGTGCTGTCCTGCACCCTAATTGACTATAACATTTTTCAAGGTGACATGTGACTTGGACCATGTTTAAGCAGGCTGAATGATAACACATGATGGAAATTCTGCTAAGTGGTCAGTGTTGTGGAGATGTTCCAAGGAATGCACTTCAACAATTAACAGTGCCTGGTGTTTCAGGGACTTCAAGCTCACAATCTGATTTTCATAATCTACCTATAGCCACAGCTCAGGCCACCCCTCATCCCCATTATAATTCACCTATAAAAGCAGATTCCTCATCATTGCCCCAAACAATTGCAGGCATATATATATATATGGATCTAAGTCAGAAAGGATTCACCTGAGAATGACTTCCTAAATGATCTGATCTGTGGTGCTCTAAAGTTTTTAGTCTGAAGTATGTATACCCCTAGGGAACAAAAGGGGTGAGGGTATGAGAAATTTATCAAGGGGATACTAGAAAATATTTATTAAACAATTATATTATACTGTTGAAATACTCCAGAAACTCCAAATTGATTAACAATCAATGAAGCCACAAAAAATTTTGCTTGCTCTTGAAGGCAAAAAAATGATCTATTTTAAGTGTATATTCATGGTAAACTCTTTCATATTGAATAGATGATACAGGAAGGTTTACTGAAAAGTCAAAGCAATCCCTGAATAAAGGTTGGGAATCTCTACCCTACACTCATTCTAACTCACAACCTAGATTCTAGATCTTTTGTCTTCCTGTCATCTAAAAAGTAGCTGGCCTTTCAACCTTTGGATGATTCTCTGGCTTGTCCCTGGTTATTTGTAACTACAGACTCCTTAGCTTTTTAGCACCTTCTTTGCTGAGGACCCTTCAGTATTATTTGTTCTTCCTTCCTGTCTTTATTGCCTGGCTTCCCAACTTATAATTTGTCCCAAATACAGGCAACCATGAGCTCTATAACCAACAGCTTGCTATCTCAGCGCTTGACCCCTCTCTACTTTTCCTCTTCTTGGCCTTGCCTGGTGGTCTCAGCCTCACATCTACCATGTTTCACAATGATAATGGTTCTATGAAAGATCAGAGGAAAAAGTAACTAAATAAGAGTTTCTAAGATCTATATTTAGTCCTAATATAGCTATGCAAAAGAAATCAAATAGAAATGTATCCATTATGTCAATAGAGCAGATTTAATTCTTTTTGATATTTTCCTATCTTAAATCTGACACAGCTCCACTAACATTCTTCTTTGATGTCTCATCATGGTATGGAGACAATCCTATGTCCTCAAAGCCTCTGCCAGCAGATCATAAATTCTGGCACGTCCAATTAAGCTTTAAAAAAAGTTTCCAATAATAGTCAGTCAACAGTCTGTATGTCTGCTACCTGAGGACAAGTCTAGCTCAGCTCAGACCAGAGTTGTCAGGAGGGCTGACCACCAGATAATGCATTTTTTCATGAAAACCATCTCCTTGAGTCACAGAGAGGTAATGATAACATCGGTGGAGAGGATGCCCACACACATGCAGTCACAGATTTCCTGAAATGTTGAGGTACATCTGGGATAATGTCTGCTGTATGATATTGTTGCCTCTTGCCACCCCACCCCTCCAGAAGCATAGCTGCTTCAATGTCTATTAGACCATACTAATGGCGCATGGCCCTCCCGCTATCACAGAAGCACATCTGGTGCAAGGCCCACTATACCATGCCATGGCCCACTGTCATTCCAATATCACAGAAATCTATCCAATGCAGTAGGTACTGTACTATACCACACTGTGACCCAATGCCACCCCATCATTCAAAAAGTATATCTGATGTAAATATTGACTATAATATACTCTGGCTTAGAGCAACCTTAACACTCCAGAATTACAGGTTAATAGTATTTCCCAAAAGCCAGCCCCAAAACTATCAGTCTGGTACTTTCACCATCTACAAAATATCCCAATTACTATTGTTGTTCAGTTCCTTCTCCAGCTCATTTTGCAGATGGAGAAACTGAGGCAAATAGGGTTAAATGACTTGCCCAGGGTCACACAGCTGGTAAGTGTCTGAGGCCAGGTTTGAACTCAGGAAAGTGAATATAGGTCCAGAACTCTATCCACTACACCATCTAGCTACCCACAACAAAGTCAATAATCTCACCTGGGACTCTGTGCTAGAGAAGAAACCAATAGTCTTAGGTTCTGACTAGTAACAAAAGTTTTGTTTTGTTTTGTTTTTCTAATCCCATTTCTTTTTACACATAGAAAACAATAGGGCTCTCTTGCCTCGAGCTCCAGCTATCAAGTTACTTAGTAGGTCAATTTGCATTTGTCACAAGAAATGATGGGGGGGGAGGCTGAAATGGAGACAAGAGTTGTGACTTTTCTCACCCCGGATGAAGGCTTTCAAATGCTGCTCTTTAGATGTGTATAGAGTAGCTGGGTGACACAGTGGATTGGGTGCTGGGCCTAGAATCAGAAGACTCATCTTGGGTTCATATCTGACCTCAGACAGTGACTGGCTGTGAGACCCTGGGCAAGCCTCAATTACCTCATCTGTAAAATGAGTCAGCGAAGGAAATGGCAAACCACTCTGGCATTTTTGTCAAGAAAATCCCAAGCAGGGTCATAAAGAGTAGGACACAACTGAAAACTGAAGAACAACAAAAAGTTGTGTATACCTGGGAAATCACCGAAGAGGGCAAGTATCTTGAGGGACTTGCCTCGTCTGCTGTGTATTCCTTTCCTTGAGCTTAAGTAATCGAACCATGATTCTGAGATGAGTGTTTCTAGCATTGGCAACTACATTATGAATTCAAGAGGCTGAGGGTTCCTGAGTCCATGTCAGATGACCAGGAGGTGGTGCTTCCCGAAACTACGCTGTTTTTTCAAAGGAGAAAACAAGCCACTAGGAGGAAACTTCAGCTGAAAAAAGTTGAGAGAGCCCACACCACGCCCCAGCTTTCCAGAAAGCCCCGGCTTAGGGGTTTTGCAGAGGGCACAGGTCAGAGGGGAAAGTGAAATATTGTCTCAGGAGTTCCCCCAAAAAAAGTATTTTTTCTTCTGAGAGGATAGGAACGATGGATTATTGTTTCAGGTTTAAATACTTGTTAATGTGCATTTTTTGAGTCTTCTGCGTTTTAACCATTTCTTTTTGTTATAGAGAAAATAACTGTGATAAGCTTGATATCATTTTATACATGGGGTATGTTTTCCAGAAATAACCTTGTGAATCTTTTAGAGAAGACCCTTGACAAAAGCTATGCCTAAGCTTTGTTTAAGGAGCTTTTCTGGGAACTCCAGGATGAAGCCAGAAAGTGCAAGAAAAAAAAAAAAAACGTGATTTCCGTCTTTCACGGGTCGGGCTCCCTCAGGACTGAACCTGGGCGTGCCAGGACACTCCCCAGGTTTTGGGGATATCAGGGGGAAAAGTTTTCATTTCGTAGGAAATTATGAAAGGCGAGGCTTTTAAATGACTTTGCATGATAGTTCACACTTACATGATGGTTTACAGTTTACATGGTATTTTTAATGTATTTTTTCAAACAATAAATTTCAGTAAGAGAACTCCTTTCAAGTGGGGAGAGAGGGGCTGTGAAACTCGAGGACACGCACTTTCCATCGCTCCCGGCCCTGGGTTCTTTAAAGGTCTCTCCCCCACCCCCTTCCTCTCCCCCACCCCCTTCCTCTCCCCTCCCTCCCCCCTCCAACTCCCACCCCTGCCTCCCTCCCACCCCTGTTACTCCCTCTCCCCATCCCTCTTCCCCCCCTACCCCGGCCCCTTCCACCCCTGTTTCTCCCTCTCCTCCCCCTCCCTTCCCTTTCCCTCGCCCTCTCCCTCCCCCTACCCCCACAGAGCTGGGATCAAGTTGAGGCAGGGCAGAGCTGGGGCAGGGCTGTTTCCGGTTCCGGTTCCGGGGGTCAGCACGCACGGGGTCTCCAACAGGCCTGTTCCCGAGGCGCCAGCCTCGAAGGATTCTCGGGGCAGATTCCGCCCAGCCTGCTCCCGCTCCACCATGGCCCCCAAGCCCGGCAGCCGAGTCGATCCCAAGGCAGCCAAGCGCTCCCCGCTCTCCGGGCGCCGTTTCTCCAAGGCCGAGGACTGGTTCGATTGCCCAGCGTTAGGCCCGGGTTGGAAGAGGCGGGAGAACTTCCGAAAAAAGGGGGCCACCTGCGGCCTCTCAGATACCTACTATCTGAGCCCGTCCGGCCAGCAAATCCGCAGCAAAGTGCAGCTGGCCCGTTACCTGGGCCCGGGCCGGGATCTCAGCGGTTTTCACTTCAAGCTCGGGATTGTGCAGCCCTCGCCTGCGCAGGCAGCACCGCCGCAGAACGAGACTAAGAGGCCGCGACGAGGACAGGGAAGGCCCAGAAAGGAAGCGGCGCCCCCTCCCTTGGAGCAGCTCGATCCCGAGAGGCCGCGGGCCGGACCGCTGTCGGCCGGTGGCGTCGAGGCCCCTGAGCCTGGACACCCCGCTGAGCCTCTCCAGGCTGACCCCGCCAAGACCACCCGGAGCAACCCCGCCGACGCCCCCCAGAGTGACCGCAGCAGCGGGCATCCCCGGCGGCGGTGGCGGCAGCGGTGGCTTCAGACCCAAGGCTGCGAAGGCCAGAGGAGTGACCCCCCCGGGGAACCGGGGGACTCAGAGATAGGTGCGCCCAGCGGGGGGCCCGATGGCCGCTTGGAAGTCACGGGGGCCGCCGCCACTACCATCACGGTGGCAGGCGCTATCACTGCGGCCAGCGCCATCACTACGGTCAGTGCCATCACTTTGGCCAGCCCGACCATGGCCGCGGCCAGCCCCGCCGCTGCTGCTGCTGCCGCCGCCGCCGGCCCTGCCTCGAAGCCGCGGGTTCTCGAGGCGGGGGCTCGGGGCTCGGGCTGCGGCCTGTGCGCCGGCTGCCAGGCCCAGGACGACTGCGGGGCCTGCTGGATTTGCGCGCGCGAAGGGAAGCCGGACCTCGTCCGGCGCTGGCGGTGTCTGGCAAGGCGCTGCCTTCAGAAGCGCCCGAAGAAGAGACCCAGGGGCTCAGGGGCGAGGAAGGCCCCCAGTCGGCGCCGGCGAGCCCCCGCGCCCGCGGCCCGGGCGGGCGGCCCAGTGGTCACCGCTACCACCGATCACCACTACCGGCGGCCGCGCCGCAACCGGAAGTGCGGGACCTGTGCGGCTTGCCTGCGCCTGGTGGACTGCGGCGAGTGCGACTTCTGCCTGGACAAGCCCAAGTTTGGTGGCTCCAACCAGAAGCGCCAAAAGTGTCGCTGGAGACAGTGTTTAACTTTTGCCGTCAAGCGCCTGCTGCCCGCCCTGAGGCACAGGTCCGTGGAGAGGCCAGCCCGGCGCCAGCTGCACCGAGTCAGGAAGGGCACTTTGGGGAACCGGCCCTTCCGTGCAGGCTGGGCCAGATCGAGGGCCCGCCATGGCCAGAGGCTGGTCACTGAGGCCCAGAGCAGGAGGCCTAGGCAGAAGCAGTTCCCTGTGCCAAAGGAGGACTTGGACACTGATTGTGTGCAGCCGGAGACCAGCTTGGTCGTCGTGCAAGGGGAGGAGAACAACCCAGTGCTTGAGCCCAGTACCAAGGCAGAGACTTCTCCGCCCCCTGTCCACCACGATGACCTAAAGGAGTATGAGTCTCTAGGACTTGAGGTATTCAGTGCATCTCCTCAGTTGAAGCAGGAGGTAAAGAACTTTGAGTCCCAGGCTCCTGAAGCTAGTTTATCACCCCCTGTTAGCTTCCTTCCTGACCTGCCTAGCAAGGAAGCCAATGGGACCCATCCACAACAGACTGTGAAAGAGGAGGATGACTTGGAAGAAGAGGAAGTTGCAAGCACCCCAGTGATCATGGAGATCTATAGTCTGGGCAAGGCCACGCCAACAGCAGCAGGACTCTTTGGAACCCTGGACAGTGTCCTACAGGAATTTCTAATGGAACTGAATGAGCTGCCCTTGCCTGCTCACTGGGAAGTGCTGCCAACAAGGGGACCAGACCTCTGCCTCATCCAGCGATCCATCTTGTCCACTGTAGCTGCTGCAGTTATCCATATCCAGCCAGGCCTGTACTTCCGTGTAGTGGTACGCGATGTCCCAGTGCCACCCACCCATGAGCTCTATTCTGCCCACCCATTACGACTCACCACTGTGGATGAGGTGATAGAACTCATCTGCAACCTGGAAGCCTACCGCCTGTGCCCTGGTTGGCCCGACAGCTGGCATCAGGGCCAGCGTTCTCCTGGCTGTGATGTCTTGGTCTATGAAGGCCGCTGCCAATACTGCTGCCTAAAGCCCTGGTCTTTGGGGAGGAAGCAGTAACTGAGCACCCCTTCACCCTGCATTTTCCTTGGGTCCCTATGCACTGAGTTGACCCAAGGGTCCCTGTACCCTACCTCTTTCCCCTATGTTGTGTAGGAGAGTCTGTCGATCTGCACTGGAAAGGCTGAAATGAGGGCAAACACTCCTCTACCAGCCTCCCCTAAGAGCCAGCATTTACCCATCTTCTACCTCACCCCTCTCTCACCAAGGACTGCTCTGAGGGTCCCCACTTGATTCTCCTTTGCCTCTCCATGATCCTGGCACAAGGGAAACCCAGCCACCCCTCACCCCCCACTCCCCACCCCAAACACACACAGACCATATTCATCCTTTCTCCAACTCATTCTCAGGGACATGGGCTGGTTCCACAGAGGGGAGTGAGGGATAGAGGGCAGCTCTAATCAGGATTTGCTGGGGGTCATGTAGTCTTGGCTTTAGAAGTTTGATTTTAAAAGAGAGGCCATTCTACAGTGATGACTGAAGTTGCTAGAGCAGATAGAGAGGGTCCTGCAAGGGAAAAGGGGTGCCCTCTCCTACTCATTCCCGGGGTGTATCTTCACCCCATCCCTGTCCATGCACTCAAAGAGGCTGTGTTGGAGATAAGCAAAATGAATCAATTTTTTTTTTTATTTTTTATGTATCCATGACCTGTGTAGCCAGCTCTGCCCCAACCCAATTTTGATATCTTTACCTTTTTTATGTTTCTTTAAAAAAATAATTCCTCCCTCCCCCCATAGAGATAACAAAAATAATGTAGCAAACCATTTCCTAGTTTTATAAGACATAAAGTCTAGAAAGCAGAAAACCCTTTATAAACACAGGTCCCATACCATTCTAGAACCCCTTACTAACTCCAAGCCAGAGTGTTTTATGTAGTCATAGTTATGCAAATATGTTTCAAGCCCCCTTCCAGTGTATGGTCTACTAGCAGACCAGGGACCATAAATCAAATAGGAAAGATTTTAAGATAGAATAGCAAGTATATAATATGGAAATCCCCCAATCACAGAGAGCTATGATTTCCTTTCTATTCCAGTTCTGCTTGTGGGAAAGGGAGCAATTCCAAGACAATATATGCTCCTAAGGGTGTATCCTAGCTGGGATACCTCCCACACTTCCTCCTTGCTATAGCTATGGTTTGCTATTGGTTTCTTTCACCTTCGCAGTGTAATATTTATTGATTCTCTGACCAGTTGCTGCTGCCATCTGCTGCTAATAGAGTTTATTCCTCAAAGGGGAGGTTAGCATGCTTTTGTGAAACTGCCCAGCCAACAGTCCTGGGGCTAATCAACATATTTTCAGCTCTTTTGTTAGGCGCGCAGCCATGCTCAACTGGCACACCAAAGAGATTCTCAGGTCTGCCAGGACTTATTGCTCAACCACATTCTCCATTCAACTGGAAGTTCCCCTCTTGACTTCAACTCCTGTCATGTTCTTGACAGGTAAGTCCCAGCCCATTGCAGATTACACTGAAGCTTTGGTAAGCTGCAAGGAGACAAACTTTAATTACACTGGAAGGAGGTGGGGTAGACCTAATAAGCTTTGCCCTATATTTTTGCCATTGTATCGTGCTCTCTCTTCCTCTTATATATGTATTTTCTCAAACCTGGAAATAATAGACAGTGGAAAATACTCTGGGGCCAAATGGATTCATGCCAGAATTTTACATTGTAAAGTGTATATCTCACTGAATGTCATATTAAACATGCTCAGCAATTTTCTACCAGGTCTCAAGCTATTCATCAGATGTAAAATTTGACCTGCTTTTTAAAAATGAGTTAAAGACATCCATAGTTCTCCCTCAGACAGCTCTCTTTAATTAACATTAACACAAAAATCTGAGCTAACTTGTGCCAAAAGAATATGGTCTGCAGAGACCCAACCGGGTTTGCTACAAGGAGGTTTTGAATGATTAATTTGATACAAATCTGGATTCCTTCATCTCTCTTCAAAACAGTGACTGTTTACCTGGTACGTAAGGGGGTTGATTGTTAAGTCTTTGCTTGACTTTTGTAACAAATCCAAAAGCTACAATGGAATTATTTAGCATAAATGAAGTTTATAGGGAATATTAGATGGAAAACTAAATTAAATCAGGAAGCAAGGATGCTAGTCTTCCATTGACTTGTTATGTTGATCCAAGTCACTTTACTCATCTTTGAAGTGGGATTATATGATGAAATTCAAAGGATTATTGGTGATTAATGATGGAATTGAATAGATTCCTTCAGAAGACTTTGGTATCCCCTATACATGCTATACTCTTTGGTCAGGTATAACATCAGTAGAATGCCATGTTCACTTTAGAAGAGCAATATATCAACTGCCTAAGCAATTTTTTTTTACCAGATTGGCAGTGTATTCATGCTATTTTCTTCCAGGCAATCAAAACATTGATAGTGACCAGAGTAGAAACAAAGGAGTTTCCTCACATAGAACCCTACTTTTGGTCTGGCTGAGGCCAATCAAAAAGTGTGCCTGCTTAAAAACCTCTTCCCCTGGACCTGCCAGGGTATCTGGAATATTCACCAAGAGAGTTGTCATTGTGACTCCTAAAGTGCAAACGTATTATTTGAAAAGGTATAGATAATATATTAACACTGGCAAGTACAATGATACCTGTAAATTTTCAAATTAGCTTACAAAACTACTTAAAACAGAAGGCAACTGAACATGGAGAATGAAACACAGAAAAGGTCATTTTTGACATGAGGTCTATACAAAGAAAAAGGATGGCAAACTGGACCTTTTTGGCCAGGCAAGGAGTAGTATAAGAACCATGTGCACCTCTCAGAATAGAGGAAGAACCAGCAACAGGGAAGAAATAGGATAGTCAAAGCAAAATTTTTCCTGTTTAGTTTTTGCATTGTTGATCACTGGGTCTGTTCTTGGTAGAGCTGATTAATAACTGCATGGGAATAAATGAGGACAAGGTCAGAGTTTCATTCTCTTGCATGGACCAAGTGCAGAGGTGAAACTAGAGCTAGGCAAAAGGGGTTGTGCCCCATGGTGCTGAAATCATGTTTGGGGCGGAGGGGAGGAAAGAAGGACACTACAGATTCCTAGCAGATTAATCCCAAAATAAGGAGCAGGCTGGGGACGGGACCTGTTAGAGAGGCTCTGCTTCTCTGTATCAGGTACAATCATGGGTGGAGGGGTAACTTCAGGTAGCCCAGGGTTGAGTGTCAGGTGGAGGCATAGAATCCCCTCCCCCACAACTGAGGGGACCTTTCAGAGATCTTGCATTATATTCTGCTCAGGGAAAAGGGACAGGATTGTCCTGTGTGTGACAGGTGGAATGAACGTATAGGTGATGGGAACTGAAAAGATTGGTAAACTGGGAGGCCAGATGTTTGAAGGGACATCAGTGGTCATACATTATCTGTTGCCCTCTCTTGTATGATCTCTATGCACATGCATTTTCCTTACTGATGTACATTTATGCAAATGTGTATCCTAGGTTGATGGAACAAATGTATTGAGATTATCTCCAGTTTATCCTGTGTGTATCTTATTTGTACATAGTTGGTTTTTTTTTTCGCATCTCCTCCATTAGATTGAGCTTCTTGAAAGCAGGCACTGTTTTTTGCCTTTGTATCCCCAGCTTTTAGAACAGTGTAGGTGCTCAATAAATACTTCTTGATTTGACTTGACTTGACTGTTCTTACTGGGCTATTTCATGAAATTACTTTGCTATGGAATAAGTATGTCCTGTGTTTGACTAAAGGAAAAAGTGGACACATAACACATTGGTAGGCACTCAGAAGCTATGAATTTAGTCTTTGTGGATTTATAGAATATCTTGAACCCAGGGTTGCTATTTTTGGGGCCTGTATGTGAGAAGGTCATACCCCAAGTGTTACAAGTAAATACAGAATAAGGAAGGAGAGAGCAACAATCACTAGTAGATCAAGAAAAGCTTATTATAGGAAGTAACACCTGAATTGAGCCCTGAAGGAAGCTAAGAATTCTGAGGGGGAGATTAGGTTACAATATATCCCAGGTCTGTGGAGCAATCTGTGGTAGAGCAGTACTAGAAGGAATACCAGGTTCAAGGAATAGCAAACAGGCCAATTTGTCATGAATTAAGAGTGTATGAAGGGGAGCAATGTGAAACAAGTCTGCAAGGGTATACTGGAGCTAGATTGTGAAGGGCTTTAAATGTTAGGCTATGATCAGCCTTAGAGGCCTAGGTTGTATATCAGCTGGTAGGTCCAAATGGGGCTGGGTAGCTCACTGGTCTAAGAAGGTAAGGACAAAGGGGAATCAGGCAGGTCTGAAGTGGTGATACCATGTCAAGGCAGATAAACTGAAGAACCATGAGCAAGAAAATAAGCCCCAAGCTTTTCACCCTGACCTGTGAAATTCTATTCATCCACTCCACATTAATAAAAACAGACTTGTGTGACAGATTCCATTTATTCCACAAATGTGTGCTATTGATCTCATTCCACATGGTGGGTGCTTGTATCTCACACCAGGGAAAGAGACTTTCTTTATTCTTTTACCCTGAAAGAAACCTCTTCATTGCTTGGATCAGAGGGATATCAAGATAACTTTATATTCCTGACAATTGCGGGGAAAATCTAGTGCATCACTCCATCCCTATAACTTCTATGTTCTCATAAGAGTTATCAGCAAGCTGGGTGGGCAGGCACCTAGAGCAAGAAGAAGGCACCCAGCCATGGGTAACGCACATCATTGATGGCCAGGAAAGACAGAGCCAGCCAGCAATGCAGGAAATACTGACTTCTGAGAAGACACCCAACTCTTTGTCTTCTGTTCCATTCTGCTGTTTGTAAAGGCAGTATGCCCTCTTTTTATAAAGGGACCGTCTTTTTTTTTTTAAACATACAAACTTTTCAATAAAGACATTCTTAAAAGAATAGGCTAAGGATAAATGCCAAGTAATATGTTGAGTAATATCACACACCAAAAAACTTATTACCATAAAAGATAGGAAACAAATGGTTATTAATGTGAAAATCATTTCTAAATCAACTGTCTCTGTGTAGGCAGACTATAAACTTTGAGCAAAAGTCAAAATCAACACCAATAGCAGAAGAAATGATGAACATGAGAAGATAACACATAAGCAATTACAAGAGTTGTAACCTGACCTAATCAAATAAGCTGTTCATCCTGAAAAATAGGAAATGAATAAAGGAAGAGACATTAACCATTTCCTACATAAGTTTAACTGATATAAAGCAGTTACCGTGATGAAGAGTCCCCAAACTGCCTCAGCAAGTGAATACTTTGATTACCAAATGGAGAAACTTGGCAGCCAAAGGCAACACAAGTTGAAAATATGAATGTGTTTATAAACCCAAAAAGCTATTGGGCTCATGAAGTATAAATAAGAAATATTTATTTTGGAATCCACACAGTTTTTAAAGCATTGATTTTCAAAATATCTGAAGGAAAGCAAAAGTGACTGGGGAGCCAGGGAGAAGATCAGTTCATTGGCCAAAAAAGTGGTGGTCAAGAAAAATCAATAACCACGGATCTGCATACCTACTTTCTTATCTCTATAAAATCTTTATGGAAGTTACCTGTATTTACATCAAAAGATATCCTTGATGGAAAATGTGAGAAAGGAATGGTTAAGGTTTCCAAAAAGATTGTATACAACAGACCACATGCTCACAATCACCCAAATACAGAAAAATATAGAGAATGAAAGATTCTACCATGTTGATAATTAGGAAAAGAGCATTCACCTTGATAGAGAAAGAGGCATTTAATGCAAAAGATACTTTTTATAGGAGAACATTAAATGCTCTGTTTTGCTCTACTGAGTCGAGTTTTGTTTTTTTTCATCACTTACAAACAAATAACCAATGGGCTCTTATATTCTCAGAACTTCTCCAAGGTCACAATGGCTAAACCAAGCTTGAACCCAGGTTCTCGAAGTACAACCCTGAGATTATATTTGTGAAAAGCATTTGCCTCTTGCATGAGAGGTGTCCCTTATAGATTCCAAATGAGTTCTTATAAATGATGATTTCTTCTTGATATCCTTATGTGGATACTATTGTGCTGATTGCTTGAAGCCCCAGAATACATGTCTTCTCAACGGAATATGTTACCACTCAAAACATGTAGGCCTAACTAACAATTCATACAGTTAAAGAAAAAAAAAACACTTAAAGGAAGAATGCCTATTGCATAGACAAACAGATTGGCATTCCATTGAGGTAAGTAAATCTTGGACAGGGACTACAGATGAAGGAGCTAAGCTTAGAACTGAAAAACAGAAATTAAAAAGTGAATTGTATTGCAGTTGGGAAATAATAGCAAAGTTCTTTAATCCAAAGCAGCTACCTGAGACAAAAATCTCATCTTTTTAATACTTCTTCTTTAATACTTAAATACTTCAAAATAATTTTTAAAATGCTGTCGTGATACACCAAATAAAAGACTGATGCTATATCATAATACATCAAATCAGAAAATATCACAATCCCCAAGGAATCAAAATTGCACAACAGAAAGATATATGGTAGGTGTGTATAGGCTGCAACATATAATTGAAGGTAGCCTGCATACACAAAGTAGCATAGGAGATATTTGGGAATTTATAATCAGAAAAAGAGGTGAGATGGTCGTTCATTGAGGAAAAGGGACACCAGATAGACATCCTCATTGCTGCAGTGGTACCCATGTAATGTCAGAAGACCATGGAAGGCTTCCAACATACTAAAAAAGTCCTCTTTGAAGGCTTTGCAGGATGACATGAATAAGAATCCCACAGAACTATAAGACGTGGATGGATGACAAAGTGGAATATTAGAGGGAATATCCATGTTGATGAAATCACAAATACATTGAAATATTGAAGCAATGTCTACAAAAACCAAGCCTCAATCATATCAAAGTTTTTAAAATGTGGAAGAGTCAGGCAAAAGAAAGATGAGAAGAAAAAAAGCAAATTGAAAATAAAAGAGTGGCAAGCAATAGAAGTGGTGATAGAGATTCAGATTGGCAATAAGCAGAAATGGTGACAGCGGTAAGAAGTGATAGTGGAGAAGCAGTTAGCTACAAGGAGCCAGAAGAAAAATTAGAACAGCCTTGGAGCTTAAGTAACTCCTGACTGGTTATTCCTCTTTGTACCTCACAATGAACACATTGACTACTTAACAGCTTTGAAGTCTGGAGCACATTCAGGGCAAAAAGCCCTACATACCTCTGCAGCTCCTTCAACCCATAATTCAATAGACTTACGATTCAACTGTAGAATAATTCTTTAGTTAGTGAGGGACATGAAAGAATAAGGTAAGTTCTTTTCTTAGTGAGAGATCAAGGTAAGTTCTACTGCAATAGTCTGTGAATTATAATACAATACAATAATTCCTGTTCATAATAAAAGCCCTGAGTCATTAAGAAAAGATTGTGTTCAGTGTATGCTGTTTTACTAAGGCAGAGGAGTGTATGAAACATTTTTAAAAGATTTCCAACCAAAACAGTTTTTAAAATGTCAACACTTAAAGAGATAAGTTTCTGTTACCTACAAAATTCCCTTATTTGGAATACCTCAATGACACCAGATAAATGAAGTGTCAGTATATCTTCATTTTAAGTCTTCACTCTGGTGGCTCAGTAGAAGGCATGCTGAGCCTGGAGTGAGGAAGACCTGAGTTCAAATCCAGATTCAGACACTTACTAGCTATGTGACCCTGGAAAAGTCACTTAACTTCTGCCTAATTTTCCTTATCTGTAAAATGGGGTTAATAATAGCTCTTACCTTCCAAGGTTGTTGTATAGTAGTAGGGATAGAACTGGGATGAGAGCTGAGATTTCATTGGTATAGGGAACTAATTGAAGAAACTCCTAATACCAATGCAGTATGATATCTTAATTTATCATCTTAGTTATCTAGTTGGCAATTTACACAGTCTCACAACTAGTATGTGTCAGAGGCAGATCTTGAACCCAGGTCTTCCTCTGTATTTGCCTTTGAATTATCTGATATTTTATCAGTGACTTGAATAAAAGCATAGATAGTTGGCTTGTTGATTAAACTTACAGATGGCATAAAGCTGGGAATAGCTGGCATACTAGATGACAAAGTCAAGATCCAAAAGGCTCTTGAATGGTTTAGAACATTGGTCTGAATCAAGATGGAATTCAATAAGAATAAATGTCTAGTCTTATACTTGGGTACAAACAATCAACAAGTACAAGATGAGGAAGGCGTAGTGAGCAGTTCTGAAAAAGATCTGGAGTTTTTAGTGGACTACAAGTTCTATGTGAATCAATAGTGTGATATGGCAGTCAAAAAAACTATGTGATCTTGGGCCATATTAAGAAGGGCTTGACTTCCCGGAGTAGGGAGATGGTAGTTCCATTCTACTCTGCTCTCATCAGACTTCTTCTGGAGTATTGTGTCCAGTTCTGAAGTTGAAGAACACTAATAAACTGGAGAGTATCCAGTGAAAGGCAACCAGGATGATGAAGTGCTTTGGCTTCATGATGTGTGAGAATCCATTGAAGGTATTTGTTTTGCTAACAAAAGAAGGCTATTATAGGCTGAGAAACCTTTGATA